AGCTTTGCAGGCTGTTTTGCTGTCATCAAAGTGGGGCCCAGGGATATAGAGAGATTGTGTGGAGATTTCGGGACTATGTAGTGGTAGTTGTGAAGGGAGGACTACCTTGATCTTTACATCCCAAAGCTCACAGAGTTTTCAGCCGCCCGCTCGCACAGCTGCGAGGACGCTGGGAAAACAGCCGGTAACCCAGAGTCTTGCTGAGGAATTCGGGTGCTGGCTCTAGGCACCCGGGACAGTACTAAGAGTGTGGTTTTTGGTGCTGTATGTCCTCAACCAAGCAGAAACCCTAGACCCCAAACCCCAACCCTAGACCGCTACCCTGAACTCAGACCCCGCCCCCACTCAATAGTAGTGGCCACAATGAGCAATGGTAAGCATATTGAGGGCTCATACTCATACCATTCTTAGAGGCCTAACCGAACTTAGTCAGGTCATCACTTCCCGATGCTGTAGGGAAAAAGGGCAATGATTTATGTAGGTTCCTGGATATTCACTCATATGCTAGTCCTGGTTTCCTTCTACAACTATGGACTAAGGTACAAAAGGATGTTGGTAACTATTCAGGCCATTGCAGTACACAGGATTCAGGGTTCTGTGTATACCTTTGTAGCAAGCAGTACAACAGGACAACCACAAGGATTCGCCCATTCGCCCCCTGCAAGGCGAAATGTTTCCTGAACCCTAAACCCTAAAGGCTTGCTCAGTATTGTCCCTGTAATATTCATTCTTAGGGGATGATCCCATCAAACTCCCTTTACAAGGCAAATATGATAGCTTCCCAGAATACGGGACCCTAACATAGACCCAACATGCTAGAATTTCCTTATCACAGGGACCCCCAACAAGGTACCCTAATTTGTAGGACCCCCCCCCCCCCCAATTCCACATCGTAAGGTCATGTTTCTACCCTTGCGTGCGGAGAGCGATGCTCCCGCAGTTGAAGCAGAGCTCAAGCAGATTGCAGCCGGGGGCTTTCGAGAGCTGCCCAAGACCTGTCGTCTTAGGGTTTAGGATTCAAGGTTTAGGGTGAGGATGTCTGGGGTACAAGAAGCTTACCAGATAAGCTTCGCAGGGATTCTTTGCAGGGAGTTGGCGGCGCTTGTTGGATCACATGTTGATGTTTAATTTTCTCCGGCTTCCAACTCTTGTCTCGGGAGTGTGTGCGTGGGTTCACAGCAGTAAAGGTATAATATCATGAAAAACAGGGCTTAGGGCCCTTCAGGAATCCGGTAGAGGTATTCGATCAACATGGCCGAGAGTCAGCTTCACTGCCGCGTAGGCTGCCTTGAGCTCGTACGGCTGGGGGTTTCGGGTTTTAGCTTTGGAGCTTCGCCGAACTCGTGAAAGATGAAGACGATTATCAGTCCACCCAGCTAGTTGGCTCAAGCAAGGCCGTGCGCAAATCTCTCCAGCATTTGCAACCTAGTTTTTGACATGTCATACGGTCAGATCGCTACGAATAATTCTTTCCGTTTTTAGAACCTGTTAGATGCATGTGGTGAGACGTGAGCTCGACTGGCCGCTAGCTGCAGATGAGCATGGCATTTCCTTGGGTAAAACAAATCCTAAACCCTAAGCCCGAAAGCATCCCCAAGAAGATTCAGCCCCGTTCTGAGCTGCGAATCCCAAAGCCCTTCAGCCACCAACCCCAACATCGCTAAATCCCATAAACCCTCAAAGCCTTACTTGGTAGGTCCTTCTAAAGGCCCCTACAACCCTGAAAACCCCTGAAGAAGTCCCTAGACTCCAGGCCCAGCATCTTTGCCTGGCATTCTTGCGCCGGCTCCGGAGGCTCCAATTGCAATTTCCAGATGGCCTGCTGCCCCAGAGCTCAGGATTTTTTTCTGCAGGGTTCAGGGTTTAGGGTTTGAGGTTTGGGGTTTAAGGTTCGGGGTTTGGGGCTTAGGGAACTACTACAGGGCGTAGTGTTTAGTGCCAAGGGTTTAGAGCTTGATATGAGTCACTGTCAAGATGACGTAGGATTACCAAGCGACCAATTGGGTCCTTGGACCCTTAGAGATTATGATTGTAGTTGCTCGGGACTTTGCAGTCTCTATTCATTGCTTGTAGTTACATCGGGCAATCGGGATGGTGGCCCTATTCCCCACTCACCTAAACAATATATATATATATATACGTATATATGTACATATACATATATATATATATATGTGTATATATATGTATATATATATATACGTATATATGTATACGTATGCATATATATATATACATATATTCTATCCCACGAGCCAGAAGCGCTAAGCCCTATCAAGATCTGGATACGGACGTGCCCAGCTTTAAGGCCACGAGGTCTCCTTGTGCATGGCAGCCGCAAGATTTTTTCTAGGGATCCATGCGATACCTACATTGGGTCCAAAGTCCATAGATATCACCTACATGGGGCTATTTGGAGCCTGAATAGAATGCAACCCTGAACCCTGAAACCCCAAGCCTGAATCCTAAAAGCCTGAACTACCTGGTTCAGTCTTCCCCTCTTTATGATGGCCGTTGCTTTATGAGACGCAGATTGGATCAGGTGAGCCGAGACAAGAACATAGTAACAGCAATAACAATCACCGAATCATCATAACAATTGCTAAGCTTGAATCGTTGTACTACAAGTTTAAAAAGATAACTCACAGGGACTTGCGAGAACGGTAGACTACTCACACCTCAGCTCCATGCAACTTGGAAACCTGCTGTCAACTCACCAAGCAAAACTTCGTAACGCTCTGTCAGGCTGAGCCACCCCAGCAAGTGTCTTGCATGGTAGTGGCACAAACTTGCAATGCCTCAGGCACCCATCATCTTCCTCTACTCCCCTATATAACATGATCACAAGATATACCCTATTACAATATGGTAGTTTCCATTATCTGTTCCGGAAATACTGTCCCAACGCTTCACTTTCAGGTCATAACAGTATGCGAGCTTTGTAGCGTGAATTGCGCCACCCGCAGTGCGCATGCCCAGGTCGAAGCATTGTCCTCCAGCGGTGTCAGGCAGACTAGCTTGAGTGATGCTGGAGCGTTTGCAAGGGACTCTGATTCTTGAGTGGGTGTCTTGCATCCAGGAATCTGTAGTGACCATAGTAGTTTCAGCAGTCTGGTACGAAGAACTTGTCTCGTTTGGACGATTCTTCCTGCGCCGCCTCTGCTCAAGATTCCGTAGGCATGAGCTGCATCCGCTAACTGCGCATAAGCCGAGTGCATGCTGCCAGGAATCTTGGGTACTGATGCGCCGCCAGGCCTCATTGACTACACCAAAGCAATTCGCAGCTGCAACTTTGTGGCGCTGGGTATGGAATCAAGAGATGGCTTATAGTCACCAGAAACAAGGGGCTACCGTACAGCTCTTCCCTAGTTTCCATTTTCTTTTCCATTATCCCTATATAACCCTTATATAATCCGCATATAACCCTAATATACTATGGTAGTTTCCTTTTTCTTTTCCATTATCCCTGTATAACCCCTACATGACCCATTATTATAGTACTACTCACCAGTAAGGCAAGAAAGGCCGCTGGAAGGATGCTATTCTTCTTTGGGATGAACTTTGCGCAAGCCGACTGGAGACTGACAAAATGGCCTGGGGTGCCATCATTGATGCATGTGAGAAGGTGGGAAGAGCTTTATATAGTGGTATATGGGGATATTTAGGGTTAGGGTCTAAACTCCTTAAAGGGGGTTATACAGGGATTATCTAGGGGTGTACTATAGGGGTTATTACAGGGGAAGCTCATGTGAGAAGGTGGGAACCCTTGAAGTTGGGATCAGCCCCAAAAAATATGCACCAAAATCGAGGCCTACTTTCGAGAGAAGTCCTGAGGCCCTTAGCATCACACACACCCGTTAAATGCATATATGTACACGTACAAAACAGGTTGCAGTGGGACTGATAAGCAATGTTGCCAAGCAGCTCCTCTTACCATGGGAGCATTTCCCCACAGCAAGCCATCATGCACACTTATCTCGTGCCAGACGGTTCAGGGTTTCGGGTTTAGGGCTTAGGGCCGGGCCCACTTTTTGATGAACTCCCGTGTGTTTCAGAAGCCTTCTTGTGTCTACAAATATGCCACTGTGCTTGACGACCATGAGCGCGCCTGATGTCTGAATCTGCCTGTGACAAACGATGACGTGCTCTTTCCACGTATTAACCCACCACATCCGTACTACCCACGGAAACGAGCCCCAAACCCTAAAACTCAACCCTATACACCCTAAACTCGTTTTTTCCCCGAAAACCTACCAGGCGGCGCAGTGGGAGTGGGCTCTGTCCCTTCTTGAACAGCAGTATCTCACGGAGCTGGAGTTGGATTTGATAACTTACAACTCTGCCATAAGCGCGTGCGCTAAGGCAAGGAAGATGCAATGGTTTCAGCAGTTCCTGGGTTGCTGTATTACTATAGGGAGGCGCTTCTTGCCACGTCAATTGTAAGTCTACCTAGGGATTATTATATGAGGGGTTTATCATTTATCTGTATCTTTTATAGGTTTTAATGCGATATCAATATTTCCCCAATAATGGAGCATCAAGTGGAGAAGAACATGGGGAATTAAACGGAAACTGGGGGTATGTAGGGGTGTTTATGGAGTAGGGTTTGCGAAATTAGGGCTTAGAGGTACCATTTTGTGGTGTCCATGTAGTAAGGGTTATTGGTGCACTTTTAGGTCTATGTTGTGGTCCGCTATTAATGTAACCTACCAGGTTACGATACTGCGCTTCAGAATTCTAATTGCAGACTCGCACTTCGTTGTTGGGGGTGGGTCATACATGTGGGGTAGAGTGACTACTTGTCAGGCGGTGAGCAATTTCTTCGGGACAATTTGGGTGGTTTAATTTTCCCAAAGTCTATAAGAGCTCAACCCTGACCCCAAACCCTACAACTTGAGCCCCAAACTTCCAGCCGTACCCCCTTAGGCCCCAAAGCCTAAATCTTAAAGCCCAACTAAGAGCTACCCTAAACCCTAAACCCTAAACATTGAGGCTACTGAGGAGGATGAGTGCCAGCAGCCTTGAGGCAGATACCTTCAGCTATACTTCCGGCATCAGTGCTTGCCAGAAGAGCTCAGGGTGGGATGCTCTCAGAATTACGGTGCATAACAGAAATCCTCTACCTTGGGAATTATGATAGGGTTTAGGGTTTGCATTGGGGTTATTGGGGTTATTTTAGGGCTTTACTGGTATCATATTAGGGTTTTATAGTCGAGTCAGGTCATGCAAAGTTCTTAACATCAACAGTATCCCTGCGGAATCCTGATTGAGGACCCCCCCCCCCTCAATCCCCTTTCGGCCCCCTGTATCCAGCGGGTCCCTACGGGCTCCCTTTTTGAGAAACCACTAGGTGGCGGAAGGCTTTGTGGGTCTTCAGTATGGCAAAGGATGAAGATGTGGGACTTCATGTGGTGACGATCAACTCTGTCATGGCTGCTTGCGGAAGCTTACTGGTGGTTAGTTGGGGAATGAGGAATAGATTATATAGGGAATCCAGTAGGAATGTGTAGGGATTATAGTCCCTTATCCCTATAATCCCTGTATCACCCTGTATAGAATATCCCGTTATTTCCCAACTAGCCACCAGATAAGGAAGTGGCCGCAGGTGGCAGGACGCACATCTCTTGCTTGCTGGCACAGCCATGTGGGGCATGCAGCCCAGCCCTGTTTCTGGGTTGCTGTTCAGGGTCTAGGGTTTAGGGTATATAGATAGCCCAGCCCTGTTTCTGGGTTACTCTTTAGGAACGAAGCAAGAATAGCTACGTGGACCCTTTGTGTGAGTACCGAACCATAATGTGGGTGCAGGGACAATCATGCAGTTTCCGTTCTAGTTACTTGAATTAGGTTCCTTGACAGCAACCGAGGTTTCCCTTACAGCAGCCATCACCTCAGGTGAGACAACTCATGCTTGGCCACAAGCCCTGGCATGGCTGCATGATGCAAAAGGCTACCAGCTGGGAATCAATGAGGTGGTCCTAAGTGTGGCCATCTCTGTCTGTGAGAAAGCAGGTAGGTGGCAGCAGGCCCTGCTACTATTCGATGAGATCGATTCCAACAGACTGTATCCGGACATCGTCCTCTATGCAGCCTTGATTCGCTCTTGTGGGAAGGCTTCACAATGGCAGCGGGCGCTTGGCTTCTTGAGCGAAGCTGAAACGGAGTCTCTGCAAACAAACGTGATTACTTACAGCGCGGCGATGAGTGCTTGCGAGCAGGGGGGAGAGTGGCAGCAGGCACTAAATCTAATAAGTACACTACAAGATAAGCATATGAAGACAGACACCATCATGATGAATACTGCGATCAGCGCCTGTGCCCGGTGTGGGGAATGGTAACTTGGAGCTGTTTTGCTGGGAGAGCAACGGTTGATGTAGGGAGCTTGGGAGGAACAGTCCTAAAATACATAGGTTCCATGCTCTTTGTACTTAATGCCATGAACGGACTTTCGCTTGCCGCACCCTAAGGTCACAGTAACAATGTTGATGATAAAGCTGAGCAAATCAGGCAAAGTGCTATGAGCCTGCTGGCACACATGGATGGTTGCCGGCTGCCACCAGATGACATCACCTATGCCTGTGCCATACGGTCCTGCGAGGCTGTATCCGCTTGGGCCAGAGCACTTGGTCTTCTGGAGGATTGACCGGAAAACTCTTAACCCTAAACAGTAAACCCTGAACCCTAAACCCTAAATAGTAGTTTCCATTTTCTTCCCCATTATTCCAATATACAACCTATACAAGCACTATATAACCCCAATATAACCCCTTGGTCCCTAAACTCTTGTCGCATTTGCATGCCACCTGTCTGTAGACCAGGTTGCTGATAGAATGCTGGACCCAGTTCTGGAGTGCTCAGACCAATTCTCTACCCTCCGAAGGTGTGCCCCAAAAACAGCGTGATACGCCCGATATACCTTAGGTCAATCCCCCCTATAGCAATGGCTCCTTAATGTGGAGTTAATTGGGCCTTAATACCTCCAATAGTCCCTTATGGTACTCATTACTGGGTGGGGATTTGATTTGACCCAACATATCCCTAAACCCTAACCCCTAACCCCTAGGTGTAACTTTATCGGAAAACCAGCTCTGTCAGCCGAGCCCCATTTTGTACCTTAGAGGATCCCTGCAACCGGGGTTAGGAGGCTCATTTGGATAAGATGCTAGCTTCTCAAAATGAGCCCTGCCCCAAACCCCTGTTAAACCTCAAACCTTACACCCACGAACCCTAAACCCCCAAAACCCGCAAACCCTAAACCCTACATGGCTTGGGTTCATGTCTTAGACTTGGGTTTTGCTGCTATGTCGTGCGAGAGCCGCTTGAGGGTAGCAAACCTACTCCACCTCAAATACTAGACCTTCATGTAGAGTACGTGCTGGCAACACAACTTCGGGGATTCACGACTTCACGACTTAGACCCTGAACCGCAGTAATTAGCAACGGCAAAAAATTGAAGAAGAGTTTCATCAGCTTTCTCGAGCGGGGGTAAAGAAGCCACCCGAGGCTGTCACCTTTAGCTGTAGACAAGCTGGATATGCTGTCAGGTTTGTCATCAGAGTTCCCAACAAACTACAAACATTGATTTAAGGTTTCGAGCCCCAAGCCCCAAACCCCTAAATATTGGTGTTCAGGGTTTCAGGTTTATAGGGTGTAGGGGCCAGGAGGGATGAATGAGTTTATGCGGCTGATCCTCACAGAAATGAACTTCCAAATCCCAAGGCCCTACAACCTAAGACCTACCGCAAGCCTTAACCCTAAATCCTAAACCTTATAGCTTTAGGGTTTAGGAAGCCTGAAACCCAAAGAAAGCCCTAAACCCTAAGCCTTTCCTAAGCCCCTTGATGAAGCCTGCAGCCCTGAAGGAGGGGGAGCTCAGGAAGCTGAAGTCCAATCTTGTGGCTGTCAATTCGGCCCTTTCAGCCTGCAGAGAAGCATCAGAATCTTACTGGTGTGTAGGGCTTTAGGGTTTTCTGGGTTTAGGGGGGGTTCTAGGGTTTTCTGGGTTTCGGATTTGGGGTTTGAATAGAGACATGGATCATTTTCTTAAACTTTAAGGGTCTACATCCTAGTCCGCCATTTCTTACCAGCCACCGGCAAGGAATGGAGCCAGGCGTCTGCGCTTTGCGAGAGACTTGGGCTATTTTTACTGCCCTCGCCCTACTGCGCACCCTCGTAATAATACAGGGAAATGCGTTCTATATAAGATAGTCTATTGGGAATAGGCCCAATTACGATGATGAGGCATTTTTACTTTGCCTGCAGTTTTGTGTTTTGCGAACTGCTGCATCTTCTGAGTTTAGTTTTTTGGCCAAAGTAGGCTTTCCTGACAGCACCCCGAAAAGCAGTGGGATCCCGAGATCCAATCATAAATCGCAGTGCGCTGAGGGGAGTGTGGCAAGGCATGTTCCAACTTGGTTTGGATACTTGGAAGGTCAGGGGACTTATATAGTAGGTAGGTTAGTAGCCCCTATGACCCATATAGTAACTCTACTTATCCGAATTATTAACCTACTTACTAAGCCCTCCCCTGACCCTCCAAGTAGCTGACTCCAAGCAACATCAAAGTTTAGGCTGAGGAGTCCAAGTTTAATAGTCCTTTTCGGGCCTAAGTAGTGGTTGTTAACCCCCAAGGGTCCAAGGACCCAAATAATAGGGTTTCAGGGCCCAAATACCACTAATATTCATGGTATTTGGGCCCTAAAACCCTATTGTTTGGGTCCTTGGACCCTCAGGGAATGTGGCAGCATCAGTGGTTCGGGGCAGCTTAGGGGTTGTTATGGGCTTGGACCTTCAGAGGGGACTAAGGAGGAGTCTGGCAAACCGCGTTCAGCTCAACGTCCTATCCTGCACGTTGGCCATCAAAGCTTGCGAGGTGGCTGCAGTCCCCAGGGCGAGCTTGAAACCATCTGAGTTTTGGTCTAAACTCCTTGAAGGGGTTCTATGGAGGATTACCTAGAGGACTCTTATAGAGGTTATTAAGGGGGATTTCAGGAGAATGGACAATGACTCATTTAAGGTTTAGGTTCAAAGTTTTTTGTCTTCGTTGTCTTCTACCAGCAGCGGTGAGCCAGTGCAAGCTTGTCAGCCTTAAAAAAGCGAACACTTATCAAATAAGGGTTCCCTGATACACACAACACTGAACAAGTCGGAATTTCTCGAAATTCCCACTATCGAATCCTGGCAAAGGACCCCATGACCCTTTCTGCTATCCCGCAAGGTCCCCAAGGCCCCCCTCTCCTAAAATGCAAGATCCATGAATGTATATCCCTACTTGGAGGGTCATGGGGGCTTAGCAAGTAGGTTAATACTCATAGGGATAGCTCGGGTTACTCTATGGGCTATCGGGTTTATTAACTTACTCCCTGAGTCCCCCTGACTCTCCAAGTATCTACCGTAGACATGTACATATGATAGATTCCATGCGTAGGGGGACACAAAGCCATATATAACTTAGCTATTATTATCAGGAGCCCAGACAAGGACCCGTAGTTGTGGGAACCCCATATCGCGGTAAGCCCACCCCCCCACATTAGGACCCTATGACCAGCATGTGATGGTCATAGGGTCCTAATTTTGGGGGTTGGGGTTACCAACATCCTTTTATTGTTATTGAAGTGGCTCAGGTCTGGCAGCAAGCCTTACAGCTTTTGCTGACTATGGCCCGGGCTACTTTGCGTGCGAATATGGACAGCTGCTGGACTTGCCCTTCTTGGTAGCAGGGAATGAAAGGTTGTACCTGGGGGTTTCCAAGATTACGGGTACTGTCTTGGGGGTCCCCCTATTTCGTGGAAGCTATTATATATACATCTAAATAAATAAATAGATAAATATATATATATAGCGGGGATTACATGGGATGCCTAGGTTCTTGTTGGATTTAGGGTGTCGGGTAGCAACCTGAAATTGAGACGGGGTTTATGGGGATATACGCATACGAGTTTGAACGTTAAAAAGTGCTTGTTGCTGATAGGAAAGGAAGGAGAAGTCTGAAAATATTACTGCGGGCGAAGGGTTTATAGGGAATGGAAAAGGACATGGAATCATGATTGGTCATTCTATACTAGCTACTGTAGGGTTCCATTCCTCCATTCCCTACTAATACCCAGTAAGCTTACCAGGAAAGGTACTGTTGATGGAAGAAATCTTGCATGGCCGCATGTTTCCTAAGCGACAGGCGCCACATTCAGGCTGGGACCCCAGGTGGTGTAGGAATCCGTGCATCAAAAGCATCTGAAAGTCGGGGTGCCCTACGGGTAGCCCTAAACCCGAAACCGGGATTCTTTGGACCATTGCAGGCTCTCCCACCAGGCAAGGGCTTTGGGGCTAACCATCTAGAATTTCAGAGTTGAGGGAGCCTACCCAAAAGGGGATACACAGGATAATCCAGAAATCCGGCTGATCTCTTTGGTACCTTTTGCTCAGGCGTTGTTTGGCTTGTGGTGTGAAGACTCTGAAGCAATCCCCTTTGTTGATCGAGCCCGGAAACCTCTACGCTTATTCATTTTCAGAAAAAATAAGCTTAGACATTGGCGGTCCACTTGTTTTCCTACGATGCAGGGAACATGAAAGGCTACAACAGCTGCAGCCGCGCATGCGAGCAAGCCTCGCAGTGGCAGAAGGCCCAGGAAGTCTTCTACGCGATTGAGGCCAAGAAGGTGCAACTGTGAGGAGCTGCTCATTGGCCGGATGCGGATTCTACAGCTGTCCTGCTCCCTGTGCCTCAGAGAGAAGTTGCTGGGACGTCCCTGCCTCAGCACGTGGAAATGGTGTTTTTTTTGGTCGCGATGGAATGGGCAATGGCATTCAGATACTGGTGCCAACGGTCTCAGTTGTGGAGCCTGAGCAGTAAACACCCAGGGTCCCCATTAAGTAGATAGAATATGGTTTTTGGTATATTGTAGTAAGATCCCAATATACCCCATATTCTATCTACTTAAGGGGGACTATCGGCGGAACCACGTATATGCATGATGATTGGACTATGTGCTGCAACTCGCGATGTCGTGCGCAACGACCACGAACCGAGCACGTGACGACAGTCAGCAAGCCTGCACGGCTTTGCCAAGCCCAATCGGCAGTTCTGATTTGCTTACCCGGCCATGGGCGGCCTCGGGGGAGAAGAGCATATGAAAAGATATAGCTGCCCACGACAAAGCATCAGGCGCAAGTCTGTACTTGCGCCACTTACGCATGACCCCAGCATCTGCTCCAACAATTTCCTGCAGCGAGTAGTTTGGAGGAGGAAGCATCAAAGACCAGTGCCAGCTATAGAGGACAAATTTTGGCAATACATTCCCTCGGTCTCTGCTAAGCAAGTCTGTGCACGCCTTGATTCCGCAGAGCAGTTCGCCTCGTGATGCATGTAGGTCCCTTTAATAGTCTATACTCCTAGTATCCCCCTTAGTAACCCGTCTAGTAGTCCCCTCTATAACCCCCTAAAGAGCCCCTTGTTCAGGAGTTTAGATTATAGTACATAGGCAACCATGTTAGGCATCCGGAAAATGTCAGTGTCTCTAGCCCGCCAGTTCGACTGTGTGGCAGAAAAACTGCCACTATGGTCTTGTTGATGCTTAAGGGGAATGGTGCTTAAGGGGAAGTGGCGGACTGTTATAGGGGTATATCTGCGGAGTATCATAAGGATCCACTTCCCCCACTCTCCCCAAAGCACCAGAAGCAAATGTGCCACTGCAGAGTTTTGCGGGTGCTCTCATGCAAGCGGTTGAGCTTGATCTTTCAGGTGCAGACCAATGACGATAGCCAGAAAACAGCAGGAGTACTTCCAAAATACACAGACGGACGCCACTGCCGTGCGTGCTGTTAAAACAAACAACGTAGCAACTGGAGTACATCAGCGCAGGGCGTAATTCCCCAACTGCACTGTATACCATAAAGTACTACATTATACCATAATATAGTATTTTTTACAATGCAGTATGTATATCATACTGGGCACCCTGAACAGCCCACTACCCATGTAGGGGTTGACTCGCTGCTAGGCTACAGTTAGGAATAGCTCATGCGCATCTTTTACTTCAGACGCGCAGTCTTTGCCACCTTCCGTAGAAGGTTTGTTTTGGCTGCTTATGCCAGCGTGTTGTGCATGTCTACATTGTCGTAAAGCTCTTCTTAGGAGCCCTCAATGGCTTTTATCGTCACGGGGCTTTTGATCCGCCACTTCCAGCAGCGCCCCAGGACTTGCTTCCATGTCAGTTGAGGTCCAGCTACGTGTGATTCGATGCCTTGGGGATGAGGAAGCAAAAAAAGAAGGTCTGAAAAGGCTGGTGTCCAACAAGTTTCTCAAGATCATTGCCAGCGCAGGGAGCCGCTCGATACCCCCACATGCTTGAGCAGAGCCCCAGCGAAACGCTGACCTCCAGACCCAAGCCCTTTCACTTTGGCATTATGTGCGGGTGTGTGTCTACTTGTCAGGCAGACTCTGATCCTGAGCTGTCCAAACTTTCCGTGGCGTTGCTGGCGTGAAAGCACAAGCTTGATGCTCTGAATCAAACTAAGATAATGGCAGTTGAGGTAATTGGAAGCAAAGATATGTCTAAGTTGCCTAGTCACTTGCATCCACGAGGCAAGGCCTTCAAGCAGGGAAGCCCGATATCCTGAAAATTCTCAACCCGAAAACCTTAACCTAGAACAACCCCAGTTTCCAATCAATTCTGTCTAATTCTTCAGCATCGTAAGCCTAGACCCTGAACCCCATACATTGTGCGGCAGGCGCAGTATGCCCAACTCTACTTTCCTGACGCATCCGACATCACGGCAGCCCGATGCTCTGCATTTGTGTTATGGGTTTAGGGGCTAGGGTTTAGGGTTTCGGGCATCCTGTTGTAAGCACCAGATTACAGCTTTCTGAAACCTTGCGCATGCTTTAGCTCCCAACTCTTATAATCTTGCTACAGCAACAGACCCAAGCAAGGTCCGGCAACTACTGTAGTAGTTTCCATTGTCTTTTCCATTACCCCTATATAAGCCCCACATACTGTAGTAGTTTCCATTTTTATTTTCCATTATCCAAATATAACCCCGATATTACCCCAATGTTCGTGAACAAAAAAAAACCGCTTTTGATTTTAGGTTGGCTTTTATCCACGGGGCAGATGTTGGATGCCCGCCAACTTTCATGTGATAGAGTATTCGGGCGGTAGATGTCGGTAGAAAGGGCTGGTAACAGTTTAGTCCTAGTATAACTCTGACACAAAGTGCTCTAGCTGTAGACGAGGGGTTTCTCTACAGATGGGTTGACCCCGAGGGTGTTCTGCTAAGATCAAAATTGCCTACATTCTTGTCGATACTACACATCCGGCTTGACGCATCCCACTTTTGCACCAGAAGTTCCAGCCATAGGGGTCCTTCTGGTCATGCAGTAACCCCTTATTTTGCTGTATAGTAGTTTCCATGTTCTTCTCCATTATCCCTATATACACCCAGTAGTTTCCATGTTCTTTTCCATGATCCCTATATACACCCTATTTGCTACATAGTAGTTTCCACGTTATTTTCCATTATCCCTATATACCCCCTATTATGCTATATAGTAGCTTCCATGTATTTTTCCGATCTCCCTATTTAACCCCTATTTTGCTGTATAGTAGTTTCCATTTTCTTTTCCATTATCCCTATATGACCCCTACATTCCTACATAGTAGATGATTAGTGTCGACGGTTGTACCTTCAACGGGAACCCCATTACAAAAATCCTGTCAAGTGTAGCTTACATTAGGGTTTAGGGTTAGGGGGTTAGGGTTCAGCTCCAACGGTCTTGAACCAATCAAGCACTGGTTGATGTTTCGGGCCCATAGCAAGAAGGTAGGAGCGAACTGTTTTAGGTCTTTGTAGCATGTAGTTTGTTTCAGACGCGTATCTGGGAACATGGGGGTTTTACCAAAATCAGAGGTATTCGCGGTTTAGGGTTTAGGGTTTAGGGTTAAACCCTAAACCCTAAACCTCACATATTAAGGATTAAAGTAGTTCAGTGTCTATATCGGGGTTCCGTTATTTTGGGAAGCTACCGCCTACGAGCTGTAGTCTAAACTCCTAGTATCTCCCTTAATTAAGCCCTATAGTAGTCCTGTAGATAAGCCTTATATAAGCCCCTTTAAGGAGTTTAGACTATAGCTCACCCCTATAATGGAGAATCAGATTGAACATAGAATGGAAAATGACATGGAATCTGGGGGAATATAGGGGTTAAAGGAACTTAGTTTAAGTTACAATAAGATGGGTATGTAGTAAATGCTAGGGTTTCTTTATAGTTGTAACTTGCTTTAAGTTCTTTAACAGCAACCCGGAAGACAATACCCTCAGCCCCAAGCAGTGTAGCGGAGGTCAAGATCAGCGATGCGGATCAGGCACGCCTCGTGTGGTCTGAAGACTCATCAAATGTCATCTAGCTAGAGGAGCTTTAAGAGTTTCTCAGCTTCATAACATAGGTGGCAGCGCTTTTGAGGTTTTGTTGTTTTTGTTTTCCGGTTTGTGGGGTTGGCTTTGCCTGCATACGAGAAGCTCAGCATCGAATTTGACCTTGAGATCCTCACCTTTTTCCTTCATGGATTTTGGGACGCTCGATTCATGCATGTTACCCTAAAGTCTCAACATGTCCATAGCATGCAAGTTCTCTTCATCACCCTGATGTAGTGCTTTACATATCTCTGTGTTGCAACACTTTCTGGACCTTTCCTTCTGATGGGATTCTGAACTCTATCTGAGGCTGATCATAAGCTGTTCTTTGCGACGTCCAGGTGTGGTATGGGGGGGTTGGGACAGGGATGTCTGACTAACGTGCTGTCGGATACCGGTGTAGTACGAACAACTAATCTTTGAACAGCAACCTCTAAACCTGGACACAAGGCGGCCCCAAAGTTCAGTACTGACAGTCATGATCCAAGTTCCTTTGAGATCTCTCATTATGTGGATGTTGGTGTTTTGTTTTTCGTGTAACGCCACCGACTCATAAAGGTCATGTTGATGGTATCACGCTCAAATTCTAGTAGGGATGGAACGAAGGACTTTCACAAAACAAGCCCTACATAATCCCGAAAGCAAACCCAGTACAACCCCCCTGTAGGACATTGTTTATTACCCTAAGCCTAGGGCCCCCAAAAGACTATGAACGTTTCAATTTTCACTAGCGTGCCAATCAGGAACCAGATATAGCCTAATGCGAAACCCTAAGCCCCAAACCCTAAACCCTAAAAACTGATCCCCAAACCCCAAACCAATCCCTAAACCCTGAACCCCAAAAACCCGGAACCATTCCAAAGCCCCGAACCATGAGCTCTAAACCCTAAAGCCCAAGGCATCCCTAAGTCCGGTAGGGTGTGGGGTTTAGGGTTAAGGGCTTAGGGTTTGGGATTTAGGGTTTGGGATTTAGGATTTAGGGTTTAGGGTTTAGGGTTAAGGGCTTAGGGTTTAGGATTTAGGGCTTATAACCCGAAGCCCCAAACCACTAACCCTGAACGTTATCAGGGACCCCAAGGACCTGAGTTGCCAAACCCCTGGGTACCTGTCAGCTATAGACAAAACTCCTCAAAGGGGCATGTATAGGGGAGTATATGGGAAAGTAAATACTGCGGGGGAAGCTAGGAATTTAGACTATGGCTCTTACGGGCTATTGAATTTTCATAGAGTCAGGTGGTGCGGTTTTATCTTATATCAGGAGGATCCAGCCGTGAGTCGACTGTAGATCTTGAGCCCTGATTGCATTTCCTCACTTGAATCCTCCATGCATTGGATGGCCCGCAAGAGGTGCAGGAGACCCGCGTCCAGATGCCCGAATATGTCGCAGCCCCGGTCATGATTGGACGCAGGAAGACGGGCGCGCTGCAAACACATAGGAGGTTGTCAAGATCATAGGCTTTCTTCTATAATTCGTGATATGAGTTAACTTGTTGCTTTTGTATGACTTTGCTTGATAGTCAATGCCGCTATGTATTCACAACCTCGGACTTGAAAGCAACTAGAAAGATTCGTAAGGCCAGATCTCCCATGTTAAAAGTCCTTAAAGGGGTTATTTAGGGGATTGTATGGGGTTATTAAGGGGGGTACTAATAAGAGTTTCGACTATAGCTCAATGTAGTCGTGACATTAGTATACCAGTGCTTTGAACAAGCGTCTGCATGGACCCTGAATTGTAATTTCCCTCTCTTTTCCATTACCCTACATAACCCCTATAAAACCCTATAGCATTACATGCTGTTTCCTTGCCCGAAAGCCAGGAACTGCATAATGCAGTGCTTGTCAGGTCCTTCACCATCAGGTGGTGACATGGGAGCATGATGAGGTGCTCCTGCACAGTCTACGTGGATGTGTTGCTCGCCCTAGTCCACATTCGCAGAAAAAAGGCGAAACATACTTACCACACGTTTGCCTCATGCTTTTCTCCACGTTCTTGAGACGCGAGTGACCAACTTTGTGGACCTACGAGCCTGAACTCATGCACCCTTCAACACACAGTTTAGGATTCAGGGATTAGGGTGTCATCCCTCATTGAGGGCATGGCTGAGTAAACCCTAAACCCTAAATAGTAGCTTCCATTTTCTTCTCCATTATCCCCCTATACGCCCTATGTATCCCTTATATACCCCCATATAATCCCTATGTATCCCCCATACAATCCCTATACAATCCCTATATTACCCTTATATAACCCCTAAAAACCCCCCTACCCCCCCTGGGTGGAGGCCACTGCAAAGCTGAGTTTGGCCTTCCCGGCATCCTTCGCAACTGCTGAGGCGAGGGAAGGGGGCAAGTGTCAACTCGCTGGTGCTTACGGGGGGGTTTAGGGTTTAGGGTTTAGGGTTTTGGGGGGAGTAGAGCAGTAAAAAAGGCGCATTCTACATAAAATCCATATGTGTATTCATATACTTATGCAATGAGCATATGGATTTCCAAGGGTTCATGAAAGCTTAGAGATTCACTCCACCGGCCCTGAAGCACCAGTTGCTGGGTTTGGGTTGCTGTAAAGTATAAGCCTTGAGGCGATGCCTGGTGAAGATCGCGGAGGGTTACTGTGCACTAAACCGTTTGGACTCCTACATCACATCTCAAGTTCAGGGTTCAAGGTTTAAGGTTTCAGGTTTAACATGGGTGCGTTTTGCAAAGCCCAACCCCCAAAACTGAGACTCAAAAGCTGTCGTGTGAGTATAACACGGTCCTAAGTCTGGGGGTTCGGATTGCAGGAGCCCTTTGTTGAAGATCCTTCAGGTGACCTGCTATTCCTTTAGGTAGGACTGTCCTGTGGGCTCTACACCCTTTAACGTCAAACAAGCCCCAGTCCCATTTTCAAAACATGTTCAACAACTCTCAGATTATTTTGAGAACCTTACAGATCGGAAAAATCATATCCCAACAATCTCTCAAACGATTTTAAGCACCCTCTAGACTCTAATCCAACGAAGCCGGCCATTGATCCCTAAACCCTAAACCCTAATCCCTAAACCCTGAACCCTAATCCCTAAACCCTGAACCCTAATCCCTAAACCCTGAACCCTAAACCCTGAACCCTAAACCCTAAACCCTAATGACCGAAGTTACAGGATGAAGCCGGTGAGGATGACACCGAGCTTCTACAGGTTCAGAGCCTGGACATTATGGTCTGTGGATAGTTACTTGGATTAGGGTTTAGGGTTTTAGAGGTTTAGGGTTTAGGGATTAGGGTTTAGGGTTTGGCGGGGTCTTGGGTTCAGGGTCTATGGGTTTGGGATTTTGAACTTGTTTCGAGGTTTGGGAATTTGGATTTAGGGTATTGGGGGCTGTAGCGACCGTAACATGATACCCGCATCTTGACAGAGAGACTTTTACGCTTTTGCAAAGTGACAGCTCTGGCCATTTGATGTATGATGGCGTCTCTGTCGCGGTTTTTCAAGTTGACCATACCTCTGAGTTGGAGCAAGTCGGTGGTGCGCCGTAGTCCTTGATGCAGATGCTAGGTTCACCTTGTAGAGGGAGAATCCATCTTGCTGAGGAGCTCTGCCTCGAAGGGACATGGCTGTGCATTGTCCCAGTGTTCTGAGAGTATACATGTGCAGTGTATGGGCAGGTGATCTCCTGGCTTGTCTATAGGAGCCTCCAAAACGAATTTTAATTTTTGGTTACCAGAATCCTAATTAAAACCAAAAAATACATTTGTTTTGGTGGGGATCTGAGGCCAGTTTAGTTGTTGGGATTGCAAAGAAACCTGGGACCTTTAGAGTGGGTCTGGGCTTAGGTTTTTCAGCTGCCCCAATCTTGCTGCTCTGCTACCTTTGTTTCCAACCCTTATATCCATGACCTCTTTGAAGGGATCCATTCCTCCATTCCTTACTAAGATCCAGGAAGTACAGACCTAACATACCTCAAGCCTTCTAGCCCAAATCCTTCGGCTTTTGCCCGTGGGGTAAACTAAATCCGACCCCTGTATCCCTCCTTGGAGGGTCAAGGGACTTGGTAAGTAGGTTCATAACTCCTATAACTTATATAGTAACCCTAGTTATCCTAGTCATTAAGCTACTTACTACGTCCCTAGACCCTAAACCCTAAGCCTTAAATCCTTGAAGCCTAAGCCCTAAGCCCTAACCTACGTACTAAGTTCCCATGACCCTCCAAGTCGTCAGACCCGCCAGGCTCCTCTTCAACCGCTCTTCACCTTCTTGCCAGTCAAGGTGGTGGGCTTCCGCTTTGCCATCCAAGGTGCCGGCACCAATGGGTCCATATTACAGCTTTCAAGGGTTACATGGTTTAGGGATTATGCCTACTAATCAAGAGGGAATTAATTACTACTAAGCTGTACATACGTAGTTTCTTAAGATGGAACACAAAATGGTCGAGCTACTCGGGTACCAGAGGGTGTTTACGGAGATGCTATACGTATTTTTGGGCAGACTGTATAGAATGCATTGGGGTTTCGGAGAATTTCCTTTGGATTTGAAAAATGTTCTACAGTCCTATCAAAATACCCACTTTCCGAGAGACCCAAGTAGGTGTAGTCCCCCTTAAGTAGATAGAATATGGGGTATATGTGGATCTTGTTATAACATACCCAAAGCCATATTCTATCTACTTAAGGGGGACTATAAAGCTTGGGCTCTGGGCCTCAGAGCTTCTTTCTTCGTTCAGAAGAGCCCAGCAGGGAGTCATTCCTTCACTCTACCTTCAACCCTAAGGCTCCAAGTACCCAATAATCATACACCTATCCAATACCTGTATTATAGTTACTATTACCCAATGCCTAAGTACCAATGTATTTGGTACTTGGACCCTTTGGGAACGCTCATCAAGTTGACGTTTCAGCGTTGAAGTTTCCATCCCCCCTGGCTTTCAGTTTCGTGCGCAGCAAAGGCTGCTGCCAGTGTGGGCAGATTTTCAGACGCTCAACAATTTCTGAAGGCGCTCACGCCATCTGAAGAAACTTAAT